CGCAAACCCGAGCAACAACATCCCGCAAAAGCAAACTCGCCCGGGAGCACCCTTCGGCCCAGGTGCCGCACATCCGCTTCCAGCCGGCGCCTCGGAAATGGCAGAAGGCGGTCGTGCCCCCCCAACAGAAGAAGTGGGCAGCACAGCGGTTACCCACCGCCGGCCGCCCCTGATAGAAAACCACCGGAGCAAAGACCATCGGGTGCTGCTGAAACGGAGCAAGGATGCGGTTACCGACCGCCCGTCCCTGCCCTGGGGTACCGCCCCTAATAAAGGCATTTGCTCGCTGAGGTCGCCACCCAGCCGAGCTCGCAGCCGAAGCCTGCACCAGGACACCGGCACTGCCACTATCACAGACACCTGTTGCAGCACGACAGGCAATCGCGACAGACTGCTGAGGAGCAGCGCCGGCAAACCAAGATCGAAGGAACCCCGCAGCTCCGACATGGAGCCGGGAGCATGTCCATTTCGGCCGCCACGGCCCCCAAGAGCAACCACATCGCTCGATGGGCCCTGGCCCGGTCATTCCCACGAGCCTCGGTGTAAGATGGAACTGCTGGGAAACCGGGCTCCTGCCAACGTCGCTGCCCATTGTGCCAGAGCCGCCAGAGGACCCAAAGCTCGGCCGAAGACACCGCCCTCGGGCGGGTCCGCGCAGAAACTCTTGCCACCAAGGCCGATGCGTGGTCCGGGAGGATATCGGCCGGCCACAAGCCCGAAGCAGCCCGGCCCACCTGAAGAGGAGTGAGGCGGGTCTCACAGGCATGATATTCGGCCCATGCCTGAACCGGAGTAGGTCGGGCCGAACAAGGACTGCAGTGCGGCAGTGGGCTCCGACAAAGGGCATCTGGAACCCTCCGCGTCCCTCGCGGCAGCGAAGGCAGTCGGGCTCGATGCAGGGGACCGTCCTGATCGGCCGGAGGCCTGCAGGCAGATCGTTGATAAGGTTCGTCGGGGGAGGGCAGTGCTGCACTTCCAGAACCGATCCCCAGAGGCGGGCAGCATCCCATGCCCGTCCCTCGGCCACAAGCCGCCGCAGCCTCTCCCTGACATCCAGCATGGCCCCCGTATGCAAAACCTGGGCGTTCGTATGAAC